TATATCGTTAAATTTATCAATGGTTTTTTTTACGGCTTTATCCTGGCCCACTTTTGATGACAGAAAATCATTTATTCCTCTTTTCATGGTGCCTCCTTCCTTACTCTTTTCCTCCTCCAATCTTGCATTGATAGCAAAGAGCTTTTAATACCTTCCCCCAAGTTTGCATTTTATATTCTCGGTGACAGAGAAGCCCCTCGATAGTTTTGTTAGATTTTAGTGATCTGAAAAATCCCCATTTTCTTGGTACAGGCACTCTGGGAAATTGTTTGTAGTTTCTTATAAAACTAAACATGCAATTGCCATATGATCCAGCAGTTGCATTCTTGGGCGTTTATCCCAGAGAAATGAAAACTTAAGTTTACGCAAAAACCTGTACATGACTGCTCATAGCAGCTTTGTTTGCAATAGCCCAAAACTGGAAACAACCCAAATGTCCTTCAATGGATAAATGGTTAAACAAACTGTGGTACATACATAGCATGGAATACTACTCAGAAATAAAAAGGAACGAACTATTGATACATCAAAACATAGATGAATCTGTATTATGATGGGTGAAAAAATCCAATCCCAAAAGATTACATACTGGTTATTTCATTTATATAACATTTTTGAAAGGACAAAATTTTCGAAATGGTGAACAGATTAGTGATTGCCAGGGTTTAAGGAGGGGAAGGGACATGGGAGAGAGGTAGATTTGGTTATGTTAGCAACACAAGGAATCTTTGTGATGATGGAATTTTTCAGTATCTATGGTAGTGGACACGTGAACCTACACATGAAACAACTGTATAGAACTAAACACACACGCGCACACACACACACACACACACACACACACACACACGAGTGCAAATAAAGTGGGGAAATCTGAATAAGATGAGTGAATTGTATCAATCAATATCCTGGCTGTGATATGACAACTACAGTTTTGCAAGATGTTGCCTTTGGGGAAAACTGGGCAAAGAGCATACAGGATCCTGTACATGGGATCTAAATAAAAATTTCAGTTAAAAAAATAAATCCCCATTTCTGCTAATACCAGCTTCACCAAAAGATACTACCTAGTTCAAGTACTAGTGCTCTCTTGTGTTGGGACTAGCAGCGGATCAGCTGCGAGACCTAGTGCCGGCAGGGGAATGTGGGGGAGCCGAACAGTGCCTTGGGTTCTAGTCCTGTACGCTGCCCTGTCAGGCCAGATGAAGATCTAAGAGCACTGACCAGCATTTTCTGGACATCCCAACTGGGTAGCCCATCATGCAGCCTGTTTGGGAGAGAACACTGGCTTAAGCTCCAATACGTCAGAACAGTGAGAGGTTGGCATTGGTGGTTGGGGACAGGCGTGGGGAAGGGTTTCCAAGATGTGCTGTGGCGTGGGTGGGTTTGTCCTGATCATGCCCAGCATGTGCGCCATGGTCATATGTATTTTGCTGTACTTTGTGCTGTCCCATTGGCTCTGGAATGAGACAGAGCATGCCTGGCATAATGGTTCTCAGAGGATGGTAGGGGGATACCCAAGACCCTGCTAGGGAGTCTCTGAGGTCAGAACTATTTTTGTAATACTTAAACATTATTTGCAAGTCATTCTCATTCTCTTACAAGTGTACAGTGGGGTTTTCCAGAGGCTACATGACGTGAAATAGCAACAGATTAAATGCAGAAGCAGATATGAGAATCCAGCTGTTTTCTATTAAAGCAGACATTAAAAAAATGTATGTAAAGCAGTGCCACTCTTTCTCACTTTTTTGTTTTGGAAAATACAGATATTTTCCTTAAAGTGTTACTTATGTTATTTTTAAATGACTTAATATTTAGGAGTTTTCTCAGTTTGGGTTTTTATAGACAGATATTGATAGATATAACCCACATGAACAAAAGCTCTTTGGGGTCCCCAGTAATTTTCAAGAGTATAAAAGGTTCTGACACCAAAAGTTTGAGGACTGTCACCTTGGCAGGAAGCAGTAGGCTTAAGTTCTAGTCGGGGCTTTGCTTTGTGACCATGGGCAAGTCATTTAGCCTCTTTAATTGATTTCTTCTTCCTCTGTAAATGCTCATAGTTATTCTGCTGTGTACCTTAAAGAAAAATGAGGTAATCATATATGAATGGCTTTGAAAATATAATGCCCTATGCAAATATAGGGGAGTTTGATAGTTATTTGACTAAACTGATGCTGAAAGAATATGATGTTGAAAATACGTTTCTGACATGTTAGCTGACAGTCTATTTATTTGTTAAATTTTTTCATTTTAGCATCTCCCAGAAGTTTCCTTACACATTTTATTTCTTTTTGTCAGTTTCTACACCATTTTAATTATTTTTTAAAAAGTAAGTAAATATAATACATCTTCCAGCATTTTCAATCAAGAAGAGATTTATATTCCTCATACCTTGAAGTAGTATGATAAGGTCAGGAGCTCTACCTTGAAGAAACCACTTATTAGCTGTTTGACTTTTGGAAAGTTACTTAACCTCTCTGTATCTTGGCTTCCTCATCTATAAAATGGGGCTAATAATACCTCACTTTCCAGGGCAATTATGAATATGAAAAATAATGCACAGGAAGTGCTTGGCACATAATAGATGCTCCATAAATAATTGTTGCAGTGATTGTCATTGACATATAACGAAAGATGCAAGATTAAATTTAAGTCTCTTACCCTGTCTTCACTGAACTTATTAAACTACTTTATTCACAAGTTTATCAGCAGTAATTTCCATTTCATTTCATTTCATTCTTTTTTTCTCTTTTGAAGGGCTATTGAGCGGCCAGACTTCTCCAACAAATGCCAAATTGGAGAAATTGGATTCTCAGCAGGTGTTGCAGCTCTGCCTCCGATATCAGGATCACCTGCATCAGTGTGCAGAGGCCGTTGCTTTTGATCAGAATGCTTTGGTGAAACGAATCAAAGAGGTAATGTACTGCGGGAAAATAACATGGCCGACTCATTACTGTGATTCCCTGCGACTCCTGATTCCATTTCTACTGCACAGGCTAGACAGTGATCCCAGCTTTATGGGAAGTGGTCATTTTCTGGCTTAAGACTTGACATTTGTCCCCATTGCTTTGGAGAAATTATCATTCCTAGCAGCAAAATGTGGTGGTGAAAAGAGTGATTCACAGAGCTAGACTAATTTGAAGTTTGAATCCTGATTTGCTTGGGCAAGTTGCTTAACTTCTCTTTGTCTCGGTTTCCTCTTCTGAAAAATGGGCCTAATAGTAGCAACCTACCCGGAGGGTTGAGTGATGATGAAATTGCTAATCCTAGTATGTGTAACGTCCTGCCATATTAATTTTCTCTAGCTACGTTCTATCTCCGAGCTGGCTTTAGCTGTTTCCTGTATATAATTTATATTTTGTTTCCCAGGAGGTTATCATTTCTTTTAAAGCAGGGGCCTTGACATCTCCCTCAATTATATGTTTCACTGTCAGCACACGAAGAGGTTCAGTGATTCTTACTGGTTATATGGAAACAGTTATACCTACTTAACCAACAAGGTTTTTAGAAAAAATAAGCGATGTGATTCACGTGAAAGAACTTAGTTAAACTAAAGAGCATGGTACAAATGTTGTGTAATTATCAATGTATCAGCTGAGCTGCTGCATGGCACAGTTCTGGGGACACCAAGGAATAAGTAATTATCTTCCAAAGTTTTCAGTCAAGAAGGAATTTATATTCCTGATTCCCTGAAGTAGTGTAATGCCAAGGAAATGTCAAGAGCTCTACTTTGAAGAAACCAGTTATGTGAATGGTATTCCCCAGATTTGTTTTAACAAAATACCCCTTGCCCCCAAAATGGCCCTAGTCTTTAACTCTGGTGAGAGAAGAGGAGGGACATCAGGAAACACACAAGTGATGGGTCAAGAATCACTGAAAATTAATTTTCGTTTGGTAATAGAGGTAGCTCATCCTTGAGATTACAAAGTAGTCATTAGGTATACTGACAGATTTAAATTTGCCAACACCTCCAACTTTTAGTACTTTTAGTACTTTCATAAATGTATGCATATACTGTTCTCTCATGGATTAAATGCTGTTATTTGGAAAGCTATTAAACATGACCTTCCATATTGCTTGTCATTGATGTGGCCTTGCAAATATTATAAACTTATTTTATTATATTATGGTC